AAAGTATCTTTTTTTTCTTTTTTTTTTCAAAGAAAAATTGGTGAGGGTGTGTGGGAGGGATCGTATTGACACATTGATGATTCGAACGGCTAGGATTGTTGCGAGTAATCGTGAGAAAAGAAAAGCAAAAAAACAAACAAACAAACAGCGTGTTCATGAAAACATGACACACGCACGCACACGAAAAGAAAAAAGAAAAGAAAAAAGAAAAGAAGAAGAAGAAGAAGAAGAAGAAAAATAAAAGACACAACAACCAGTCTACACAGAGAGTACACAGTGAAAGGGAAACTGATGCTGAGTGGATGTGGCTACACCGGACGAGTTGTCGTCCCTGACATCTGCTGACCTTTACATGGGCTCGACCTCACCCGACCAGAGCCGCTCATCTGACCAGGCCTGGGCTGGACGGGACTCGACTGGCCTGGCCTGACCAGACCAGGCTGGGATGACTCGCCTACGAAAAGAACTCGTAACGTAGCAATCAGCAGACCTCGTGGGTGGCTCAAGCCGGTTAAGGGCACACTGACACCAGCGTTGATGACGATTTGGCCATATGATCCTATGGGCGAGGCACTATGAACTGCAGTGGGGACTGCCCCCTCTGCACCCAGGCAGGCCTATTCTTCCCAAGTGGGGGGTGAGGGGGAGTAACATGACGTATATAATGTAATGTAATGTAACAATACGGGAAGGCATATTCACGTGCATGAGGGCATTGGTGGATGCATCTGATTGCAATTACGGCCTGATTCTGTCAAGGCAGTCCTGAGTCTGAATGGGTATATGTTTTTTTCAGCAAGCCATGCGAGATGAGCATGCGCTCTTCATGTGCTTGCACATGCTTTCTTGGTGGGTAGGTAGAAAGAAGAACAACTCCCCTCTTTGAAAGCTTAATGCGTTCGACCTCTGGGAGATTTACGTCCCATTTGGCAAGTAATGGGACCATCTCCCTGGGACAAGGTACAAGGTATGAAGGATTATCCTCCAGGTGCAAATACTGTCCGTCCTCCTCGGAACCTGCGTGCTTCAACCACCAGTCCCTGCTGTGGGACCAAGAAAATTCCCAGGTGGTAACCCCGGTAGGCCCCAGCCGGGCACGAAAAACCGCCCCGGACAGGTTCGGAAAACAGGCTTAATTCAGTTTTGGCTGAGGTGCAAACCGGGGTGCAAATTGAAAAAGGTCCCTCCTGGCCAGGTCTGGTCGGAAAACAGGCCCGGACAGGCTCGGAAAACGGGCCCCGGTGTGGGTTGGGCTGGTCAAGACAGGCTCGGAAAATAGGCTCGGTCCAGTTTCTGCTGAGGTGCAAACGGGGGTGCAAATTGAAAAAGGTCCTTCCTAGCCAGGTCTGGTCGGAAAACAGGCCCAGTCAGGCTCGGACAACAGTCCCAGACAGGCTCGGACAGCAGGACACAGTGTGGGTTGGGCCGGCCCGGACAGTCTCGGAAAACAGGCTTGGTGCACTTTCGGCCGAGGTGCAAACGGGGGTGCAAATTGAAAAAGGTCCCTCCTGGTCAGGTCTGGTCGGAAAACAGGCCCAGACAGGCTCCAAAAACAGGCCCCGGTGTGGGTTTGGCTGCGGTGCAAAAATTCAAAAAGCTCCCCGGTCAGGTTTGGTCGGGATACCGGCCTCAGACTCGTCTTCTGGCAACGAAAAAGATGACAGGCGGGGCTTAACAGTGGGTCCCTTGTTACATCTTCTCATCTGCGACAAACCACGTTGTTTTGTTTTCTTTCCTACTTTCTCTTTTTTCATTTTCGTTTTCAATTTTTCTTTTAATAACTTCTTCTTCTTCTTCTTCTTATTATTATTATTTTCAGTTGATTTTTTTGGAGACTCGCTGTTCTCTGAAGGAGAGAAGAGTGGGAGTAGAGATCCGTTCCGAAGCAGTCCGGAGCGCAAGCTTCCTATGGGCCCACTTGATGCTGAACGTTCCTTTCTAGCGAATGACCTGTTTTTCGATTTGGTAAGCGGTTTCGAGAACAAGGTTGTACTTTCATTTCAGTCGCACTCTTTTTCGGTCGGCAACTCTGTCAAATTTCAGAGCATGGGGCCGCCCCCCAGTGTGGATCGTGCACCTGGCCGTCTGCTCTGTCAAATTCATTCTGACAGGGGCTGTGGATACAAATTTCCGTTTTGCTGAGGTTAGGCTTTTTTTTTTTTTTTCTGGCTCCCTTTTTCCTTCATAATTTTTTTATTATTATTAAAGGGGAACAGCCTTGAGATATCGTTGTTGAACCGACTGGCCCTAGGCAATTTTAGAATTATTTCTGGATTGAACTCCTGTCTGTATTTCAGGAGTGTTCATGGGTGTACCATCTGAGCTAGGCTCATTGACGAGGTCAAGCTTTTATGCCATTGGGGTCTTTTTTTTTTTTTTTTTTTTTTGGAGTCTTTTTTTTTTTTTTTTTTTTTTTTTTTTTCTTCCCTGCGGTCTCATTGTCTTTGGTTGCCAAGGGCCTCAGATAATCAAGCCCAAGCTCCAAAAGGCCTTATTACCTACCAGCAGCCTGTGCTGCTGGACAATGCCGCAGGGACCAAACGGGTCATCCTTCCTCCTTTACGCAGTCATATCTTGCATGCCGATTCGTCTTCTCATCGAGCAAACCACTGACTTGTCTCGTCAGGGAAGCAAACCCCGTGGTTTATTTCTTTTCTTTTTTCGTGGTTTTAAAAGGGTGACGGCCGAGGGATATCAGCATTGAGCTGACCGGCCGGCCCCAGGTAATTCAGAATTATTTTATTCCGTTCATGCGATTGCATCTGGATTTAAACTTGGGTCTGTATTTCAACGGTTCGTGGGTGTACGGCGTACCAACTGAGGGCACGCTCACACTGGGTACCAAAACCGTAGAACTCCCAAAAAAATGTGCACATGGCTGGTCACACACAATGTTTCCGACCATAAACACCCCATTCGCAAACCCATTTGTCAGCGGCCTGCCTGGCCGCGGGTTTGAGGAATTTGCGGTAACCTCCAGAGGTTATCGCAAAATCCTTATATTCTTTTCCGATTTAATTTTCGTAAATGAATGCAAAGTTGAAAAAGGGAAAAAGCAGAATTAAATAAAATATAAAAAGAACATGTACGTTCTATATTTGGGGTTACTTCTGTGTGACTGGAAACCCCAAACAGCAGCACCCTGATGGCACGGTAGCGACCCTGTCTTTAGGGAAATGGGAATGCGGTGTGAACGCGGTGTGACCTGAAACGTCCCAAATACCCCAATTCGGCCCAACCCATTTTCGCAATTTATACGGATTTGCTACTGCAGTGTGACCGTGCCCCGAGATACGCCCATTGGTCTCCTGGTTGATTTTCGCTTGCACCTCCTCCCGTTTTTTTTTTTTTTTTAACCGAATGGTGTGAACATGGTGGGAGTGACGTTTCAGGCTTGGGCGGACCCCAGGGGGCTGGTTCGTGAACTTAGGCTCGTCCATCCGAATAGTGTGAACTTGGTGGGAGTGACGTTTCAGGCTTGGGCGGACCTGGGGGGTTGGTTCGTGAACTTGGGCTCGTCCGAACTGGTGGTAAATCGCTTTCTGGGCTAGTTTTACGATCGGTTAGGACAGCAGCTGGTCGCGGTGTGTGTGGTGGAGATGCTGTTACTGGCTGGCTGGATTGTGCAGAGGGGGGGGGGGGGGGGGTAAATGTGTGTTCTGCAAACAAACCTAACCTTCTCCAGATGACTTGTGCAGATGGTGGCAGTGACAGCAGCGGTACACGGGGGGCGGTATTTATTCCCACCCCTCGTTTGTGCCACTTCAGGCCTTGTTATGTCACTACCAATAAGCCCCTTTTTTGAAAGACTTGAAATCCCTTTGCCTCCAATTTCAAGCAGTTCCAGCACAGTGATGAGGTTTGTGATGCGGTCGAACGTCTTTTCCGACGGCCAAATTGACGATATCCATGAGGATATCGTGGACCCCCCAGCAAGGGTTGCATTGGCGGGTTGATGACAAGCAGCCTTCGAGCGGGAGTTGCGAGATGCGGTGAACATATGCGACCGCTCAGCAAGTGTTGATTTTTTGTAGTTCAATAATTACTTCACCTGATTATGGAATATGTACGTGCACGACCTTTCCCGGAGAATTCCAATTATTTGAAATGAAAATTGTATTGGCGGGTGGATGAGAAACAGCCTTGCTAGCGAGTTTCCGGTGCCAATGACTTAGCAGCGCACACTCATTTTGCGAGTTCTATTGATGTAGGATTTGCCCGACAGCAATTGAGGCCAGATTGTTTTGAAGAGTTCCCAGGCTGAGTATTGCTGAGTATTGGCGTAAGGTCTTTCTAAGGGAGTGACTGTGAAGGAGGGCGGGCAGGGGTTTTGTTTCTTTGGACGCGTCATACCTACCGTCTTCACCCGAATAGAATGCCCGGTCATTATTGCTGCATGTGGACCGGAAGTTGCCTGAAATACATACGGCTAGAATGACCGGTCGTTCTATTCGGGTGAAGATGGTAGTACTTGATGCGCGTGGAGTGCGTGCTCTGGAGGGTTCCGACCTGGTAGTGTGTGTGCTTTGGAGGGTTCTGCTGACCTGGTAGCGTGTGCTTTTGAGGGTTCTGGTGCTGCATCTGGACTGAAAGTTGCCCAAAGTACATACGGCTATACTGACGGAGCGTTCTATTCGGGTGAAGACGGTAGTACTTGATGTGCGCGGAGTGCGTGCTTTGGAGGGTCCCGACCTGCTAGTGTGTGTGCTTTGGAGGGTACTGCTAACCTGGTAGTGTGCGCTTTTGAGGGTTGTGCTGATCTAGTAGTGCGTGCTTTTGAGGGTTCTGCTGATCCGGTTTAAGTGTGTGCTCTTGAGGGCTCTGCTGATCTGGTTTTAGTGCGTGTTTTTGAGGGTTCTGCTGATCTGGTTTAAGTGTGTGCTTTTGAGGGCTCTGCTGATCTGGTTGTAGTGTGTGCTTTTGAGGGTTCTGCTGATCTGGGTTTTAGTGCGTGCTTTTGAGGGGGTCTGACCTGCTTGCATATTGATCATGACATGCAGGTGTATAACTGATTGACTGCTATTGCAAACGAAGAATTGTCGAGCGGTCACCTGGGCGTTGTCAATTGAGCTTCCTCCAGAAAAAAAAGCGATTTCTGAGAGTGTGTGTGCGTGGTGAACGGCCTCGGGGGGAGTAACAGTAGCAGCAGGAGCAGAAGCAGGACCAGGACCAGGAGCAGGAGCAGAAGCAGCAGCAGAAGCGGTAGCAGCTTTCACCTTGTATTGTTTGCAATTCCATTCTCTGTGGATATGGTGAGACAACAATCCGAACTCCTTACGGTTTTCCCAACGTTTGTTGTGAATGGACTTCTTGTCTGTCCTTTCTGCGAGTTGTTTATGCACTTTTTTTCTTTTCTCTTTTTTTTTTTTTGCTTTTCTCAATTCTTTGTTTCTTCTGGTTTTGTTGTGTATGTGGCCCTTGAGCATTGAGTGCTTAAAATTTCCTGCGCTTCTGGGAAATGTTCAAATTTTCTTGGAAAGTAATTCTCTAGTGCTTCTTGGGGTGCGTATCTCATTCCTTCCCCCCCCCCCCCCCCCCACCCCAATCTTCCTTCCCTCACTCCTCTCTCCCTCGTTGTGCGGGGAGAAACCGTTGGCACCGTAAAAGAAAATCAGTGCACGAACGACGAGCATTGTGATGATCTGCATGGGGGCTGCCCTGGTGAAATTGCTCTTCTTCGTGCCTGGTTTACGGAGCCTTTATTTGACCCTAAAAATGCCTCTGGCAGCGCAAGGGTGAAATTGCTCTTCTTCGTGCCTGGTTTATGGAGCCTTTATGTGACCCTAAAAATGCCTCTGGCAGCGCAAGGAAACGTGTGACGACGGATCAACTTACGATGCATCTCCTGTTCTTGCCCCCTCATTGTGTGCCCTCGCTAGGTTCACATTGAGGTGACGACTAGTTGCCACCGTCTTGTTTAAAGTACACTTAGCGATTTTCGGACTAAGGTCACCTCGCTCCAGCTCCCTCGCAGGGTGCATGAAATGAAGTGAACAGTGGGCCTCGCTGCCCTACTCAACGTCCTACGTGCATTTGGATGCCTGTCTGAACCAGGTGCATTTGGAGGAGTCCAACATTTTGAATGCACCGGGGCCATTATGAGCCCCAGATACGTATAGAGTGTCGTGTATTGGAGCAAGGACCAGTGATTCTTATGCACACGTACTTTTGAAATCAGTAACTTAAGAAAAAGGAAAATCGAAAGTAGCCAAAAAAGAAGAAAATTCCTAGGCTGCGAGCTGTCCGATTACAGGACGTCCTGGCCAGATGTCTCCATTGGATGTTTGGTGGGGGAGTTGGCTTTTTTTTTTTTTTAATCAGTGAAGCAAAAAAATAAAAAAACGGGGGGGTGGGGGAGGGGACTGCGCACCACCAGAGGAACCCCCCCCAAAAAATTGAGGCGATTTGGAGCAAAAAAAGAAGAGAAACGGTGTTGGGGGTGGGGGGGGGGGAGGTGGGCTGGAGAGCCCGCTGCTGCAGATGCGGCAGCTGGTGCACCACGTGCAGCACCTCTGCCCTCCCGTTATTTTCCCCCCTATCAATCAATCAATCAATCAATCAATCAATCAATCCCTGATCCAATCGAATCGATTGGATCTTGATGTGAATCAGGATCCAATCGAATCAATCGATTCAATTGGATGAGAGATTGATTGATTGAGTGATTGATTGATTGGTTGATTGATTGACTGATTGGTTGGTTGGTAGATCGGAAAAAAAAAAAAACCGAATAAAGAAAGGGCAGGGGAGGGGAGAAGACCAGAGCGGTGAGGGCAAGATGGGAATGGGGGTGCTGCGGAGGTGGGCGGCGGCGCAGTGGTGCAGCGACGGGAGTGGTCAAGGAACATGACAGGGATGGGGAAAAAGACGAGAAGAAGGAAGAGGAGGACAGGGATGGGGAGGAACGGGACATGGAGGAAGAGGAAGAGGAGGAGGAGGAAGAGGAGGAGGGAGAGTGGTGATGGAGGATTGGGAGGAGAATGGCGGGAAAGAGGTGAAGAGGTGGCGGAGTCAGGGCGGGGAGGGGGGATAGTGGTTGTGCGGGGCGAGATGGGATTGCCCCCCCTCCCCGCTTATTTATTTTTCTATCCATCAGTCAAATCCCTGATCCAATCAATTGATTCGATTGGATCTTGATTTGAATCAAGATCTGATGGAATCAATGGATTCGATTGGATTAGGGATTGCTTGGTTGATTGTTTAATAGAAAGGAATATAGGGCATGGGAGGGGAGAAGACGAGGAGGAGGTGGAGGGGGAGGAAGGAGCAGAAGAAGAAGAGACCGAGGAGGGGGAGGAGGGGGGAAGAGGAGGCCGAGGAGGCGGGGGAGGGGGGGGAGGAGGAGGCGGAAGATTGTTTTTATTTTTAAATTGCCAGAAAAATGATAAGGGTATATCTTACTTCACAAAGAGCCCACAAGAAATTGTTTGAAAAAAAAAAGAATATTTAATCCCCAAAATAAAAAGAAACAGGGAAAGAAAAACAGAGAAAGTTCAAAAGACGAAGAGCATGTTTTTGACAACGCTATCTTCATCTTTATTTCGTTTCTTTTTCTACTCATCGAAATGACGCCCAAAATTATGGGATACCTTATCTGCTAAAGAATCCAGAGAAAAAAATTCAAATAAATAAATAAATATTTAGGTCTTTTTATGTGGGTTCGGACATAAGTACACGGTTGGACGTTTGGCCCGGTTGTCCGAGCGGACAAAACCCCGGACGGTGAGGGGGGTCACAGGCGTCCGGTCAGGTAACACAGGAAAATTCTAAAAAAAAAACACAAAAGAAAATGCTAACTCCGAAGCGGATTCACATGGATGCGAGCCCCTTCATTTCTAAATGGCAGTCGATAGTGTGTACGTTCGATGGTGGGCTCACATGACGGGGGCAAGCAACTATATATAATCCGAATGTGTATGCTGATTGATGATGCACGAGGGTGCAGGTTCTCCTCTGTGTCCTCCTGGAGCAATACCGTCTTCACCCGAATAGAACACCTGGTCATTATAGCTGTATATGGGGCAGCTTTCAGTCTAGATACAGCGGTAATGACCGGGCATTCTATTCTGTCTTCACCCGAATAGAACACCTGGTCATTATAGCTGTATATGGGGCAGCTTTCAGTCTAGATACAGCGGTAATGACCGGGCATTCTATTCACGTGAAGATGGTAGTTCGTATGCTAGTGAAGTTGAAATGTATAGCTCGCCCTTCGGGACATCCGTTAAAATTCAAACGATGCAGAGAAGATTAGCATTGCCCCTGTGAATGGATGACACACCAGTGATGGGCCGGCAACCGGCTGGTTGGACCGGCCAGGATGCAACCGGGCCGGATCAACCCTTCCGGTTGGGCTCAAAACCCATCCAACCTTTTTATTTTTTATTTTTTTTGAAAGCAGGGTTCGAATGTGCTCGCCGAGAGCAGTCAGCATTCGCAAAGAAAACTTTGAACTCGAAACTTCTATCTGGTGGTGGGTTTTGGGGGGTGGGGGTGGGGGGTGCTCAAGCCATGGGCGGCGGGGGGTAAGAAGAAGAAGGAGAAGGCGGCGAAGAAGGAGAAATGAAGAACTAGATACACATCATATCGTTGTACAGGGACGCTGGACCCGATTTCCAGCAGGTGCAGCTCCACACCAATAGATGGAGCCTTCGACATGGGGGCCTACTTACCGGGGGTGCTCTTATCACCTCGGTAAGTAGGCTTTCTGCATAAGAAGATTTCTCAAAAAAAAAAAAAAAAAAAAAAAAGAAGGAGAAGAAGAAGAAGAAGATAAAGAAGAGAAAGAATAACGAGAAGGGGACAGAAACAGGGACTATGGCTATGGCGACCAGCGGGGTGAAGAAGAAGAAGAAGAAGAGGAAGGAGTAGGAGGAGAAGAAGAAGGAGAAGAAGCAGAAGGAGAAGAATAATAAGAAGAAGAAGAATAAGAATAAGAAGAAGAAGAAGAAGAAGAAGAAGGCTGTGGCTATGGCTACCAGATGGGGAAGGACAACACCAGGAGAGGAGGAGGAGAGAAATGAAGAGGAGAGGATGAAGAAGACAAAGAAGACGAAGAAGAGGAGAAGAAGAAAAAGAGGGGATGGAGAAGAAGAAGATGCGGAGGAGGAGAAGAGGAGGCGGCGGAGGTAGCGTAGGTGCTTAGAAAATGACGTGGGGTGGGGGTGGTGTCTGTGTCGACAGGCAAAAGAAAAAGAAAAATGAAGGGGAGTTGAGGAGGAAAAGATCAGAAGAGGAGAGCAGGATGAAAAAGAAGAGGAGGACAAGAACAAGTGGAAGAAAAGAAGAGGATGAAGAGGAGGAGGAGGAGAAGAACAAGAGGAAGAGGAAGAGGGGTTCGCGTGACGACAGGGGGGGGTTGTGTGTTGACGCAGGGTTGACGCAGGGAAAGGTCGACTTTTGTCTGGGGAAAAAAAAAAGAAAACAAAGGGGAGTGGAGGAGGAAAGGATGAGAAGAGACGAGGAAGAAGAAGAGGAAGAAGAAGAAGAGGAGGAAGAAGAAGAAGACAAAGAAGTAGAGGAGGAGGAGAAGAAGAAGAAGAAAATAAAAGGAAGATGCGGAGGAGGTGAAGAAGAGGAGGAGGAGGAGGAGGAGGAAGAAGAAGAAAAAGAAGAAGAGGAGGAGGAGGAGGAGGAGAAGAAGATGACGATGATGATGGCGAATAGGAGAGGAGGACGAAGTAGTGGAGGAGGAGGAGGGGAAGAAGAAGAAGACGAGAGGAGTCTCGCTGCTCTCTCTCTCTCTCTCACATTGAGTCACGATGGTGGGCTCGTGCGGCAGCTTAACAATCGTGGTCTCCCTCGATGATGATGGTGGGTTCACGTGGTGGCGACACACAACGGCGCGTCTCAAAGTGAACAACGGGCATGGCAGGGTCGTGTGGCGCCGGGCAAGAGGCTTCGGACATCCAAACTTCGAAGGGGACGGGAGGGGGCGGTGTAGTCTTCTGCGCATATGTGAACTGCCCCCCAAGTTTGACTTGCGGCCGATCTTGGCGGCGATCAACAAAGATCAGCGGCCAAGATTGACCGCTTTTTGTTTTGTGGAAAGAGGGGCCTCCCGGACCCTGTTCTTATTTTTTCTTGCCCTACCAAGTTCTGCAAGGCCAAAAATACAACCCAGGCCCGAAAAAAAAAAAACCTCCCTCAGCAAAAATGCGCTGGGGGGAACCGAGAGCCAACCGGGACGGACGACCGGCCGGCCCAACCGGGAGGCTCCCGGTCGGGGGAGAGGTCCCCGGTCCAACCGGGAACCAACGTTGTGACACACAAAAATCGAGAAGTGGTGAACATCCGTTAAAATTGGAACGAGACAAGAAAGAAGATTAGCATGGTCCCTGCGCAAGGATGACACACATAAATTGAGAAATGGTCCCCCCCACAAAAAAAAGAAATGAAATGTATAGCTCATGCTTGCAGTGCTTGCCAACAGTGGTGTATACGACGAGGCTTTTGGGCTTGCATGGCATGATGCCTGCCCTCGCCTTTGTCTCTGTATGCACGTTCAGTGCATATGGTCGATGGTCTGTGACTCCTGCCTTAACATGGGGGGTATCAGCGTCCCTTCCTTTTCGAGAATGATGTTGATGGACTGCATCGTTCCAACAGTGCCTGCCTCAACATGGGATGTAGCAGCCCCCCTTCCTCTTGGGGAATGATGTTGACACAGTCAACTGTGATGCGACTCCTTGAACGACCTCCTTTTTCATACATCCTTGCGACGATGATCTTGCTGCACTTGCCTCCGTGGCACAGCCTTGTTCCCGCGCTGTCATCTCCTCCATGGCCACCACGGCGGTATATGTTTTCATGATGCATGAAGAGGGTTCATGTTGAATCGCTCCTGCTGTTTCCAGATTTTGTTGGGATCTGTGGGCAGGGAATCGTGTCTCCCGCCCCTTTGCGAGCAAGCAGATGTCACACCTGTTCTGTCCATCCTTCCGGCCACCATTCTAGTACGCAACTCTTCTGTGCCATGGCATTCCTGTTGTTCTGTTATGCGGGTCTTCAAATGGATGTGGCAAGTGCTGGTGATATGTGTATACTTGAAGGCTAAGAATCGAGTTGCATTGGTAATTACTCGAGTGTTCGAGTAGTTGCCTGCATGTGGTTGTCTTTTTCATCTTGTTCTTATCGTCTCCATCTTCTCTTGAAGTGCTCAACAAGGAGGCTGCCCTTATCATATCCATGCAGCCATGCTATGTTTCTCCTTCAACACATGTGCAGGGCACCTTCTGTCCACTGCACATGTGTCTGGAGGCCTGCATTTGGCAAGGACATTCACCCTCTGCGTTTGCAGCATCCGTCTTGTGTTTGCTGTTTCTCTCTCTCTCTCTCTCTCTCTCTCTCTCTCTCTCTCTCTCTCTCTCTCTCTCTCTCTCTCTCTCTCATGTGTGAGTGTGTGTGTGCGCGCGTGTCTTGCTCTGTCTCTCTCTCTCTCTCTGAGTGTCTCACATGTGCGCGCGTGTGTAAATGGTATCTGTCTCAGCTTTACTATAGAGATCCTATAAATACATGAATATATAAATTTCAATGAATTTACTCTTGATTACATATGATGGTTGAAAAATAAGCAAAAATCAATACAAATTCATAAATATATTTTATAGAATAAAAAATGATACATATAGTAAATAGCAATATGTACATTCATTTGTCTACATTCTATGATAAATAGAAGAATGATATCATGCTGTCTTGTGTTTGCTGTTTCTCTCTATCTCTCTCTCACTCTTTCTCTCTCTCTCTCTTTCTCTCTCCCTCTTTCCCTCTCTCTTTCTATCTCTCTGTGTCTCTGTCTCACGTGTGCATGTGCCTCTATTTGTGTGGTGTCTGTCTCAGCTTTTAGCACGATCCTTGTCCGTTAGTTGACTTGACAATTCCACAATATATTGTCACAACAACTAACGAGAACTCGGCTAAATGCAGAGAGTGACATCTAAGGCGATCAAAGACAAGGGACACGACAGCAACAACAGAGAAGTGCCGCAGAAGCTGGGCCCTTGTCGACTGCAGAGCTCCCCTGAGTATGTGCCGTAATTGCTGGTGTCGTGTGGTGTGCTTATCTGAAAGAAGGCCTGAACTGAGATTGTCATGTGAAGAAAATCACTCCTGGGACTTCTTGTAAAAATGCTGGCATTGGACGCCAGACTAAAATGTCTTGAATGTGGTGTGTGCGTATGCATGGGACACGGGCAGCCACCATCCTTGCTTCGCTTGCCGCTGTGCACACCATCGCTCTTTGCCTTGTGGAGTCTGTGTTCCGTTTTACTCAGTCCGAACCGCAAGTCAACAGTTCTTACGCGCAAGAGGCGTAGATTGTTCTATGGTGCAAAAAGTTATCATTTGTGGCCATGTTATTTGTCTTCCTTGCACCTCAAAGTCCTCCCTCACGTCATGTGCTTGCTTCGGAGAAGCAAGCAACTTGCAACTTTGTTGCGTTTTCGCCGTGCCTTGCCACGTGATGAGTGCGAAAACGCTTCCGCCTTTTACTTGATAGCCATCATTTCCTTTTTCGGTAACTTTCGCGATGATGCCACCACACATTCTGAGAGCCAGCATATGTGATCAATATATATATATATATCACAGCCCCTCGTTTGTTGTCCTCTTCTCCCTCTCTGCCTACGGTTTACCGGGCAGTTCTATTTGACGATATATATATATATCTCCCTCTCTGCCTACGGTTTACCGGGCAGTTCTATTTGACGATATATATTTCTATTTGATGATATATATATTTTTTTTTTCACCTCTTTCTAGATATGTGATCAGGGTTGTTTGTCCACCAGTCGTGCACGTGATGCAGCACTTGATCCTTGCATGATCTTTTGCACTTCCTGCTATCTTTGATTTTTCATTGTGGCTCTACCTCAGCTGCCAGTGTTAATCAACTACACAATCGCTGCCCTTTACTTGCTTTTCTCGCCGTTGTTTTAGCTTTTAGTGATCTTCTTTGCTACATTGGTTGCACTCATAATGACCTGCGCGTAGATCGCTCTAGAGTGCTCGCACAACAAATCTTTATGATCACCAGGTGCACACATGTTGCATGCAGCTCATTTGTCCACATCAGCGTCTAGATGGAGGCTGTGTAGAGCGGCTGTAGGTGTGGTTGTGTGTGCTGCTCGACTGTGAAGTTTCTTCTTTCTGCTTCTTTTCCCCTGCTGTTTGGACTGTTAGTGTTTTACTTTTTCTTTTTTTTTCTGTTCTCCTTTTCTGGCTTTACTTTATTATAAAAAAGCATGTTTTTCCTTCTCCCCCGAGGTCCTGATTGAGAACATGGGGTGTCCTTGTCGTTTGGCTGCAGGTGTGAGTCTTTCTCTTAGACATATGCTTTATACCCCCCCTCTCCCCTTCTCCCCCCCATCAGTGAACCGCACATACATAGGGAGCCCTGCAGTTGACGAAGACCCTGTTTCTTTTTGCACTGGTCTTGTTGTTCTGTGATGTGTGTTTGTTTCATGTGTTTGACGCCACTCTCTTACTTTGGCACGGGCATTGTTAGTTGTGACAAATATGTATATATATCGAGTAGCGTGCGGAAAACACACTCCTCGGCAACAGCTGGTCCGACGGCTGGGATGAATGGATGTTGGAAGGGCGAATGGATGGTGGCGACGTCGTGAAGAGCACCATATGAGGTGGCAGTGTAATTATGTGGAAGTGCAGCCTGAGGAGTGGAGACTTTGGAAGTTTAGATGCCTTTCTAGTTTTGTTTTGTTCAGGTGTAATTTTCTACAGGAGGGGGTGGGAGATTGTGGGAAAGGACTGAGTAGAGACGACGAAGGGGGTTGGGAGGTGTTAGAGGGAGGAAAGCAGGGTGCATTGCGTGGAGAGAGTTTGCGAGTTGACGAGGAGGAGCTGTCGTTTGCAGTCAAATGACTGACCAGTGCTGCCCCGGTTGAGAATATGATGATGGGTATGGGCTGACACGGAGAGAGTGGAATCGAGCAAGGTGAACTGGTCGTCCTTGGCCCTCGGAGGGATTATCTGATTCTGCGTATTGCAAGGAATCGAGGGAAACCAGGATGGCTTTTGCGGGGTTCAGGAAGTGGTTCAGCAAGAGACCGCCAGATGGACTCTTTGAAGTCACAGACCGAGTCTATGTGTTCGACTCGTGTTTCTCCCTCGACCCCTACGCGGATGATACCTACAAATTCTACATCCGGCAGATTACGACACAGCTACATGAGCAATTCCCGGGGGCGTCCTTCATCGTATTCAACTTCAGGGAGGGGGAGAAAAAGAGTGCACTCACGGAGATGCTATCGCTCTATGACATGACGGTCATGGATTACCCTCGCCACTACGAAGGGTGCCCCATATTGTCGATGGAAATGATCCACCATTTCCTCCAGACGACGGAGAGCTGGCTCAATCTGGAAGGCTCACAGAATGTGGTCCTGCTCAATTGTGAAAGGAGCGGATGGCCTCTCCTTGCCTTCATGATCTCGTGCCTTCTAATCTACAAGAAGGAGTCGACGGATGAGGCTCGGACGCTGGACGCGATCCACAAGATATCGAAGGACCTTCTCTCGCGCGTCACTCCTTTGAATCCGATTCCGTCGCAGCAGCGCTACCTACAATACATAGCTCGCCGCAACAGCAGTGGCACAGAATGGCCGCCTCCCGATAGGCTGCTCATGCTCGATTGCCTGATGCTCCGGACAGTACCTAGCTTTGACACAGAGGGAGGATGTAGGCCCGTGGTGAGGCTGTATGGAAGGGACCCCCGATCGAAGGGAAACAAGACGACGGAGCTTCTTCATGGGCAGAGGAAGTCCAAAGTTGTACGATATTACCGGAAAGTTGATTGTGATGTTGTCAAGGTGGATGTGCAGTGTCTTATACATGGTGATGTCGTCCTGGAGTGCATCCACGTGGAGCCGTCTATGGATCCATATCGAGAAGAGTTGATGTTTCGGTGCATGTTTAACACAGCCTTCATCCGGTCCAACATCCTCATTTTGCAAAGGGATGACATCGATGTTTTGTGGAATACAAAGGATAAGTTCACAAAGGACTTCAGAGGAGAGGTCCTCTTCTGCGAGGGTGGGATTCCTCCAGCGAGTGAGCCGCAGACATTGCTAGGGGGGGAGAAGGAGGGGTTGCCAGAAGAGGCTTTCAATATCCAGGATTTTTTGAATGGGGATTTCCAGTTCGGGGATGGGGGCGCAGGGCTTGGTGTCAAGTCAGCACTGCCATTCCCGCTCTTCCGCCGGCTGTCTGGTGTCGGGCTGGAAAGGGAGATGTTGGAGAAATTTGAAAAGTATCTGACGGAAATGAGCAATGACGGAGCAGACAAGCCAAGGCAGCACTTGAGATCGCCGTCTGCACCCTTGATCTTCAGTTTGTTAGGAGAAGGCATGAAGATTAGCTCTGAAGACAGTAAGCCAGGCTCAGCACCTGGCTCAGCCCCTGGCTCAGCACCTGGCTCAGCACCATCCTCACCTCCAGGGGATGAAGCACCAAAGCTGCAAAAGCCGCATGCTCTTGCCCCTGACTCGTCACCTGAGCCGGAAAACGACCCTTCGCCAGCCCCTGTTGTTGTTGGTGACGTAGACTCTTCTTGCAGCTCTAGCATGGTTTCTCAGAGTGCTATGCCTGCAGCAGAGAGTAATTCATCGCAGACACACGAGGCACCCTCCGACAAAGTAGCCGCCCAACCCCCTCTCCCTCCTCCCCCGCCACCTCTCCCAAAGTTGCCGTATTGGACATCAAGGGCACAGGGTGATCCTCCTGGAATGTCTCCCAGGGGCTCTTCCTTGCCTGCGCGACCAGCACCTCCGCCTGCAGCTCCCCCCCCTCCTCCTCCTCCTCCCCCCCCCTCTACCTCTTCGGGGGATGCCTCACAGAGGGCTCCACCGCCACCACCTCCCCCCCCTCTACCGGAGTTTCGGTTGCCTGGTAGGCCTGGAATGCCGTCTCCCCATGCTCGAGGGCTATCACATTCCCCGGAGCTACCATCCCCTCGCCCTGTTGGAATGCAAGGCCAGCCACCACCTCCACCTCCACCTTGCCCACCTTTCAAACACCCAGGTGCCCCTGCCCCTCCTCCGCCCCCCTCGCCAGCTCCACCACCGCCTCGTCCACCAGGCATTCCTGGTGCTCCTCCTCCACCTCCTCCTCCACTTCCTCACTTAACTTTTCCTGGGATGTCGTCGAGGACAGGCATGGCTCCGCCAGCACGTTCTCCTCCTCCTCCTCCTCCTCCTCCTCCCCCTCCTCCCCCTCCCCCCCCACCTCCATTTCGTCCAGGTGCGCCATGCCCTCCTGCACCTCCTCCGCCACCTAGATTTGGCAACCCTCCTGGCCCTCCACCCCCTCCTGGCCCGCCGCCACCTATGTTGAGGCCTGGGGCAGGGCCTCCTCCTCCTCCTGGGCAAGGTCGGGGTGTTCCTCCCCCGCCACTAGGACGAGGTGGGCCCCCACCTATTCCAGGCCAGTCCAAAAGAGCACCCGGAGCTCCTCTTTCTCCCATGGGAAGAGGCGCGCCTGCTGGTCCTGGAGCAGCACAGGCGATGGATCCCCACAACCCATCTGGCCCCTTACCGGCCTTGGGGTCTGCTGTGCCTGGGCCTCCAATCTCGGGACCAGGAGGTGGTCATCGGCAGAGCAAGCCACTGCTGAAGGCTCTTCACTGGCAGAAAGTTTACCGAGTCATTCAAGGGAGTTTATGGGATGCAGCGCAGAAAGAGAAAGAAGACAGCAATCCCTTACTCGACATGGAGGAATTGGAGTCCTTGTTTTCAGCACCGAATCCTGGTGCTGCGGAAACGAGGAAGGGTGGACGGCGTGCATCTATGTCGAGCGCCCATCCAACGCGGATAACTCTGATTGACTTGAGGAGGGCCAACAACTGTGAAATCATGTTGACAGGGATAAAGATGCCAGTGTCAGAGCTGATTCGTGCAGTCTTGCATTTGGACTCGACGAAGCTGGATTCTGATCAGGTTGAAAACCTTCTGAAATTTTGTCCATCGAAGGAGGAGGCGGACTTGCTCAGACCTTACGAGGGGAAGAAAGACGTGCTTGGAAAGTGTGAACAGTTCTTTCTGGACATGATGAGTGTGCCAAGGATGGAGGCAAAACTCCGAGTGTTTGATTTCAAGTGCAGGTTCGAGTCCCAGGTCTCGGACCTGAAACGAAACCTCGATACTGTGAACCTTGCTTCGAGAGAAGTGCGGGAGTCAGTGAAGTTTAGGCGGGTGATGCAGACCATCCTTTCCTTAGGAAATGCGTTGAACCAGGGTACCTCACGGGGCTCTGCCATTGGGTTTAAGCTGGACAGCTTGCTGAAGCTAACGGACACGAGAGCACGGAACAACAAGATAACACTCATGCACTATCTGTGCAAAGTTTTGGCTCAGAAAATGCCCGAGCTGTTGGATTTTCACAAGGACCTTCCACATTTGGAAGGGGCTTCGAAAATTCAGCTTAAAGCTCTTGCAGAGGAAATGGGTTCTGTGAGCAAAGGCCTTGAGAAGGTGGAGCAGGAGTTGACGGCTTCGGAGGGTGACGGTCAGGGGGCACACACCTTCCGCAAAGTTCTGAAGAACTTTCTAGAGTTTGCCGAGGCCGACGTCCGGGCGCTCGCTTCTCAATACGCGGAAGTGGGACGCAGCGCGGACAATTTGGCTAAGTACTTTGGGGAGGATCCAGCTCGCTGTCCATTTGAGCAAGTGACCAACATTTTGCATAACTTCATTCTCATGTTTGTGAAATCCATTGATGAAAATGCGCGGCAGGAGGAGGCAGAGAGGAAAAAGAGGGACAGGGAGATTGAGAAATTGCGTAGTCATACGAACACAGCAGCGGCAGTAAACTCGCCCAGGAGGGTTCCACCCCCAATGCTCACGAAGAGCAAGTCCTCTCTTTCAGCTTCTTCTGCTGCAAAGCGCGGTATTTCATAGGTGATTAATGCCTGAAAAGAGTGTGCCAAGGATTGTAACATCCCGGTGCTTGTATAGTCTCTTGCGTTGTATTGTGTTGTCTTGTTGCCGATTGCTCACATTTTTGAGGATTCAATTCTTATATACATCAAAAAAGGATTGTCTATGTTCATTGTCGCACCCCTCTTCTGTGTCATATATGGACATCATTTTCCCGTGAACCAGCACCACCCCTGACACCCGCACCCATGCATTCACTGAACCAGAAAGTCGTTATGAAAATTGCTCCTCGTTTTGCAGCCAGGCCAAAGTCAACCTGCCCTTTTATGACTCTGATCTGTGGAAGCTAAAAAGTCAGTAGTCTCTTAGCTCTCCTTTTAAACATCCCTGCTCACTTATGTGAAACTGCAAACAGGCCAGTTTTGAAATCAAAACAGATAAAAAAAAGAACAAGAAGGTGTGTGCGCATGAATGCAAAAGTACATGTGTGTGTGTGGGTGTGTGTGTGTGTGTGTGGGTGGGCATGTGTGCACACAAACCAGAGTCGTGCTTTGGAGATAGTGTGCGTGGACTGTTAGTGTGTACAGGTAATAATGCAAACCTGGGCAAAGCACTCTTTTCTGCAACTTTTCTGCTACTGTTCCGCTCACCTGCATGGATGTTCAAGCTAGTAGCATGTATTTTCTAGTCCAGATGTTTATGCAGCAGGGCTGTTTAGGAAGTGCTCTGAAGGGGCAAAAAAAAAGCAGTAAAGTGAAATAGCAATTCTTTTTTTTTGTTGGAGGACAGTTAGTTGCCCACCCTGGTTCAAGGCCTAACAGGTTGGCAGGGGGTCACCGACACACTACTCTGATGGCTTATGCATCCCGTAGGCCTAACGGGGTGGTAGGGGGTCAGTTTTTGGTGCTGGAGAGTTGTATCATCCTCTGGAATGAAATCCAGATCGGTACTGCAGAATACCTGGCCAGTACGTCAGAGGTGAGGCAGCGCTTGTGAACTCTGTTGGAGGTGTTGTGTTCAGAGAGCTTGCCCTTCGGGACTATGCATGCCTTTGCGAGTATGCATGAGCGGGTATGTGAATTCCCTGCACATCATTTGGGACTTGTCGGGGACCATGAACTGGTATGTGTATTCCCTCTACAGCAACTGGGACTCGACGGGACTATGAAGTGGTATGTGTATTCCCTGCACAGCATTTGGGGCTTAGATTACTGGTCTTTGAAAACAGTGTGAAGGCTGTAGGACCGTAGGGAAGCTGAAGTAGGGAGAACCCCTCTCTCTCTGTCTGTCTGTCTGTCTGTCTGTCTCTCTCTCTCTC